ACTAACAACTGTTATGACTGAAATACAGGCTATTTAACAAAAAACTTCTTGAGGAGATACTATATTATAAAAGAGCAAGTCTTCTAGAACTAACTGTGTATATATTTTACACTAGCTGGAGTACCCATCTGTTGAACAGGTAAAATAAAAACTTGTCTGTAACAAAGGGTAGGAAATTGTGTTTCTATCTTTTTCTTAACATAATAAACATTAAAAGTGCAATAAAATACATAAAGGTATCAATAATGAAAAGACATTGGTTTGATGATTTCTAACAATAATGGTTATATAGTTCATTTTAATGTTGAGGGATATACAACATTGTGTCAAGTTTGGTGCTGATTGAACAAGAAAGGTGGAAATTTATAAGGAACAGATACACATACACACACACACACATATATTGATGTTTATTTATATAGATAAAGGTACCAATACTGAAAAGAAAGACATACTATTTTCAAGAATTCTAACAATAGTGGTTACACAGTTCATTCTAATGCTGAGGGATATACAACATCGGTAGTTTTTTCAAAATTAAATATGAAATTAGAGGGGGGAGGTCCAAACCTTCTTCATGTCATCCTGTATCACTATGACAAGTTTGGTGCTAACTGATAAAGAAATGTATGAAGAACAGATACACACACATATTGATGTTTATTTATATACAGCTGTTTCCCACCTTCTAAAGGATTATTTGTCCTATTTTGTAACCAAGTATACCAATTTCAGAACTTAACTCTTTGAGATCTCAAACATATTGTCTCTGAAGTACCACTGAATTCTACATTTTAAATGAAGAGCACAAAATGTTTTATTTCTGTAAATATAACTTTATTTATAGACTGAAGTATTGAAAAATGGTTTTTATGAGTTATTAGCTCTTTAAGGAATAATACAAGTTTTAAAGGTTAAGCTTCCGAAAAACAGGTTTTACAAGTTTGCTGTAGGTAGTTGGTTGTGAATAGTTAAAACATATAGACAACATGGGACTGTTTGTAACTGTAAGGTTGTTCCTGCACACCAACCTCCAAAAAAGAACTGAACCCAACTTTTATTTCATGAAATCATCAATTCCTCTGTTAAACTCTTGTAAGACGCTGAGCTTAACTGTTATCATTGTGTTAGAAAATACGTTTCCTAACTGTAGCCTCTTCTGTCTTTCCAAGTGTTACTTTTCTAATACAGTAAGTCTATGGAAAAGTCTGCTTTCAGGTACAATAGTGAAAAACTTTACTAAGCCTTGCTCTATTCTTTGCTGCAAATCTGATGTTAATTGCACAACTGGTTTCATAAGGCAAATTGCATAGTTAATAAAAAGGTTTACAATTACAAGTTTGTGTTATACACTTGAAATAAAGAGAAATGATTGATTTTCTTTCCCAACTAATGCAAGCATGAAATGCTAGTTCACAATCTTAAGGGTTTTTTTTGCTTTGGACTTCAGGTCCAATGTCAAGCATAAATGATATTTACATAAAAGACAATGGGCAATAATATTTTTGCTATCTTTTACCAAACACATTCTTCTATGAAGCTTAAAGCAGTCTCTATTTCAAACACCTAAAAATAATTTTTTATCACAGAATTAATTATGTTATATTAAAATGATTATAATGAGCAAATTAGTGAGTCATGTGACAACCACAGCCAATATTCAGTTTCAGTGGAACAGCAAGTTTCAAAACTTTGACACTATTTTGTATTGTATGGGTATTGTGATTCCACCAAACATCACTTCTGCGATGGATGGGGATGTAAAGCCCTTTCTGATGCAAAATATTCACACACTCAGATCATATAGATGTGTTCAGATTGGAGATTTGGAATTGTCAAGATGTGAATATTTCTTTCACTGAATGGCAATGAAAAACAAAGGAATATGGATCAATTTGTAGAAGCAGGATCATCCTAAAATACATCCTGCAACAAGTCGTACCCTAGCAGTGGAAAGCAAAGTGCAGCATCCTTATAACAGGTGAAAAGCCATGAACACAAAATCAGTGGCACAAGTTGTCTACATGCCCCAAGTAACAATATGCAACATAATGAAGAAGATAAAAAAAACAATAGCACAGTAATGCACAAATGTTTAAAGATTTAACAAAACATAAAAAAAAATCTGACTAATTTCAACAGGTCTAAATTATCCTTCTCAAGGGATGGAGTTAAACTGCTCTTAGTGTTTTTCTACATTCTGGTTCAAAATGGTCCTATTGTTGTTGGTTATTGAGAATGTTTTCTCTATTTATAAATATTGCTATCAATTCTTGTGTTGAAGAATTTCAATGCTGCAATAATTTTTCATTGATCAAAATTAATTTTGTGACTTGCCGAGTGAACATGTGACGCTGAAGTAAATTTATCAACATCTTCTCTACATTGGTAACCATCATGTTCATTTACTCTAATTGACATAGAGCTTTTTGTTTGACCAATATCCGAAAAAGTACAAGAATAAGGAAAGAAATAAGTGCCTCATTTATAGTGAGTATCTGTCTTAACATGATGTTTAGAGACAACAAGGGACTTGTTGGTCCATCTAGGTTGTTCCATTCTCTAAACTATTAAAAACAAACAAACCTCAAAGCCAGCCCTTAGCATTCAAATAGTTATCAAGCTTTCTCTTAAACTCACTTAAGTTTACTGCCTCCACTACATCTGTAGGCAACCTGTTCCAAAGGCCAACCACCCTGTTAGAAAAATAGCTGAAGATGACTCTTACCCTGCCAAAATTTATATTTGTGTCCTCTAGTCCTACCATTCTCACCATTAAGTGTGAATAAAAGATGATGCATCAACACTGTTAATTCCCTTAACAATCTTAAAAATCTCAATCAGATCCCCTCTAATTTTTCTTTTTCAAAAGAAAACAATTTCAGATATCTTAAAACTTTCCTCATATTACAACCCCTCCATCCCAGGCACCTTCTATTAGTTTTCCTTTGAACCCTTTCAAACAATTCAATGTCCTTCCTAAGGTAAGGAAGACTGAACATAATACTCCAAATGTGGTCTAACCACTATGACCTATACAAACGGCAGCCTTATGATGGAGACTTTTGTAATAGAAAATTTGTTGCAGGGGTATTTTCAAAATGTAAGGCCATCAGACAGAGCATAAACAGACCTAAAGATATGAACTGTAATGATATGGCAAGGCTCAAAAATTATTTGAATACAATAAATTCAGTACTTAAATCTCTGTAGTTCCTTTAATCTAAGAACTATTGGATCTACACTTCACAATTTTTGTTTGACTTAATCATAGGCTAATTTACAATTTTTATTGAAATATGTACAAATGATATTAATCTCCAATCACAGCAAACTACATACTTAGAAAACAAACCCAGTAATGTGCATAGCTAATTAAATAAAATGTTGTCTTACATTCTTACATGAAGAGATTTTGAACAAACATTTCAGTTAAGCCAACAATTTACATTAAATGATAAACCTGAGAAGCTGAGTTTGTTATGACCTTAAACTAATTTTATAACATTGTCAATACTCAGTTACAGAATCAGAATCAGTCCTATGTTAATTTTCTTAAGCCTATTAAAAGTAAGCACTGGGACCAAACAGTTTCTCCCGGGGTTTAAGAGAGATTAGAAATCAGATGTGCAAGCCTCTCTTTTGTTAATTTCTGGTTGTTCAACACAGTAGCCAAGTTCCTGAGGACTGAAGTACTGCTGATAATACTCCTATTGCCCTGAAAATTATAGACTACTAAGACTTACTTCTGTAGTAGGAAAATTAAAGAGTATGGTAAAAAGAAGTTTTACAAAATTAACAAGTGTCATCATGTAAGTGTTGTGTCACGCCATAAAAGAACACCAATATGGATTCACCAGAGAAACCTTGCCTTATTAATCTTTTATCTTTTTCTAGGCTATTACTTATCTGCACGATGGAAAGGGTGTGAAATTGATGTACTTAGAATTTCAAAATGCTGTTGATGAGGTACTAAATGAAAGATTAGCTAGGTAAATCATATTGATGGGAGTGGGAGAAAGACTAGTAAATTTGACTGAAGGATGGATGAGAAAAATATTAAAAAAGTAATGCAGTCCAGATAAACATGACCTTGTTACTAATGGAGTATCTCAGGGGCGAGTGCTTGGGTTTTGATTTTTATTTATAAGAATGATAGGGGCAAAATTTGTAAAGTTTATGGATAACTTTGAACTCTTCAGTATTTCTAGCTGTATTGAGGATAGTGGATACTACAGAAGGAGATCATGACATTTAATTATAGTAAGTGTAAGATAGTAAATTTAAAGTATTTAAATTTGGATCATACGTTTAATGTAGATTAGAATTCACTCAATTATGAACAGTATGACTAGTTAAAAAGATCTTGGTGAGCACATCACTCAAGCAATCAAGGCAGTACTCTGATGTTTGTAGCTTGTAAGTTGTATTGAAGTTAAGAAATTGTTGAGGTCACATTGATTAAAAGTCAGAGATATACTTATATATCTATACAAAGCATTAATTATGCCTCATTTGGATTTGAAATATCATCTCCTTATTTAAGAAAGAATGTTACAGTAAGTCTGAGGATGGGATATCATATTGGGTTACATTAAAACGAGATCTAGAAAAGAAAGGTTATACTAAGAGGTGATTTTATTAAAGTTTACGATTACCTGAAGGGTCGATAAAGATATGGAAAAGACAAGTTGACTCAGTTATGCCACTTTAATTTTTCTAACTTATGACATAATTTCCGTCGACAAGAGTGAATGGCTCCACTTTATAAGTTTTAATTTCAAAATGGGAAATGAATGATTTCTGGAAACAGTGAAACTGAAAGTGGAAACAAATGGTTAAGTTTTTACTTTTTCTCAACTGTGGGTGCGAAGAGATAACCTTAAACTTGCAGAACGAAATAAAAAAAAAGACTATATTAACTATCCCAATATTATATTATCTTAGCACGAAAGCTCCTATTTGTAATTTATGTCTATATTTACACGCGTATAACTCACCTTGCAGAAAACCGCGTCATATGAGACACACTGCTTCCCGAAACTTGGCGCATCAGACATGCAAAAGCCATCATAATAAAATAAGTTTTTGTTTTAAACGGATCTACTTCTATTCTAAGCCAATCTTAATAATATTACACTACAATACAATGCCTATATTGAAATATATTTAGCCTCACTTATACAAGTATTAGTAATACTAATTAATACAGTTTTTATAGCTAAACATTAACGTGTCAGAGTACTGCCTCTATTCTGCTCAAGGTGAGAGCAAATACGCCAGCTCACGCCCTCTTTTACCTTTTACAAAAATAAAACAAACTTGTAAAGCTTTCAAATATACCTTGCTTTGCGTTGAAGAGCAAAGTAGCATTCATTACAAAGATTATCAAGTAAAAAGAGTTTAAACTACGGTATTACATCATGATTAAACTAAATAAAATGAGCACATTCTATTATATAGTATTAGAAGTATAAACACTATATAATATATAATTACCTAAAGAGAAAATTATGATTCGAAATACTATGAGAATAATAACTTGTTACAGGAAATCTTAAAGGATAAAACGACGAATGAAAAAGGAGCTCTACTATACAAGTATTAGCCAATTGAAATCAGGTCCTTAGAGCCTATATTATTCTTTGATGTTGTGGATCGGACATGTCCTAGTAGTTCAGAATTTGCAAACACAAAATTACAATTCAACAAAGTCTCTTAATTTTACGGGACGTATCTTCTTCCGTACTGGCCTCCATCTCGTTGGCTTCTGCTTCATGTGGGGTTCATCTGCTTCATCAGGAAATGTCCTATCATCGGTAATAGTCACATCAGTGGTAGTAACTTCATCAAGAGCTTCACCGTTTCCCTTCTCAAAACTGAGTAGAGTTTCTTCTTTGATAGTGGCTTCTTCAGGTGACACGTCTTCACCAGCGTTATTTGTTCTGTTGTTCACTTTGTTCCAACTGAAATGCCCTGGACCGTGATAATGCCAAAGCCTGTTGGCATGCGCCACTTTTGGCTTACCTCGCCGATCACATTTTATCCAGAAAGTCACGTCTGAGAGACGATCCACTTTGTCATATGGGCCTTCCCATGGAGAAGAAAACTTAAGAGACTTCCCTTTGGTCTTCCTGGGATTATACAACCACACCTTGTCTCCTGGTACAAATCTGACTTCAGTAGATCTCTTATCATAAGTTAACTTCATCGAATCAGCAGACGTTTTCAAGTTTAAATGCACTCGATGGTAAATATCATCCATCCTTTCAGATAACACTTTCACAAACTCTGACACATTCTCAGGCAACTCTTCATAAGGTGGGCGTCCTGTTAATAGATCTACTGGCAACCGAAATTCCCGACCAAACATCAACTTTGCTGGAGTGTATCCAGTGGTTTCATGCTCTGCTGTCCTATAGGCCATCAACAGTGGAGGGAGTAAGACATCCCAGTCATCT